AAATTTGTCCTGAATATTTCATTGAAAGATTCGAAATATTTCAATGAAAGGTCCATGAAATTTTGATGCAAGCAATGAAATGTCCGCCTATAAGAAATATTGCAGTTCCGATTGTACTAAAAATTTCAGCGAAATGTTCAGGAAATGTGAGGATGAAAAATTACTGACATATTATTTTTTAATATTTGCAAAATAAAAAATGAAATATGTCACAAATTTTTAAGTGAAATATTTTGAAAAGATTATTCATTAAAATTCTAGAAATATCGAAGGGAAATATTTCTAAATTGTTAAAAATACATATTTAGGCAATACCCTACTGAAAATCCCCACATAGGCTCCTATATAGGAAGCCATATGGTACATTCCTGTGTGGATGTGGATTCATATGATAATTCCGACTTAATTTCCTATTCAAATTCCTGTTCCAATTACGTATACGATTTTGTATAGGAAACCATATGATTTCCTATATAGGGACCCATGTGGTTTCCCATATGGTTTCCCATATGGGAGCCTATGTGGGAATTTTCAGTGGGGTAAGATCCGGATATATTTGTGAAAAATAAAAAAATGAATTACAGAAATAAATTGCGGTAGTGATTGTGAAAATATGTGACAAAATTAGTTGACCGATAGTAAACCTTTGTAAAAGAAAAAAATTTTCGATAATAATGCCTTAAATTATAACTTACAAATGAATCTTAAATTTAACATATCTCAAAATGTCTTAAATCGACGTATGCCGTCTTTCCGGCGATCGGTTCATATGTACCTTTTGTCATTTGTAATTTTAGACAAATTAAATTTTAAACATTTGAATACTCTGAAAAATAGAAATGTTATCAAATGACAATTCTGCGAAACAAATTTTTTGTTCAATAATAATTATGCAGTAAATTAAGAATTCAATTAAAAAGTTACGAATATTGAAAGTCCAGTCAAGTAAAATTTGTAACAAATTTACTTTTATAGTATATCCTTGCGTACCTGAGCGGATCTTATTTATTTTAAGTATTCTATTTTTATACTTACTGTTCATATATATTAATCATGTTTCGCTTGTTGCATCTTACGTCTAATAATTTCTTTTCAATAAATAAATTGTCACTATTTAACTAAATACACAAATTTTGTCACATATTTTCACAATCACTACCGCAATTTATTTCTGTAATTCATTTTTTTATTTTTCACAAATATATCCGGATCTTATTGCCTAAATATGTATTTTTAACAATTTAAAAATATTATTTTTCGATATTTCTAGAATTTTAATGAATAATCTTTTCAAAATATTTCACTTAAAAATTTGTGACATATTTCATTTTTTATTTTGCAAATATTAAAAAATAATATGTCAGTAATGTTTCATCCTCACATTTCCTGAACATTTCGCTGAAATTTTTAGTACAATCGGAACTGCAATATTTCTTATAGGCGGACATTTCATTGCTTGCATCAAAATTTCATGGACCTTTCATTGAAATATTTCGAGTCTTTCAATGCAATATTCAGGACAAATTCAGAAAATTTTATGTGCTGTGTGGGCAGCAGAGCAAGATCTTATTGACAAGTAAAATATTTAATCAAAATATATGTATGTTGAGCAGCAGATATACTTTGCGAAACACACAAAAAATTTAAAATAAGCAATTAATTTTGATCAAAATACCTATATTTAAAGCAGAAGATATACTTTGCAAAACATAAAACAATGGCAATATTCAAAAAACTAACAAACAACGACAAGAGTAAGATCTTGAATCGGCAAAGTTCTATTGAATATTACGGTTAAAATTTTCAAAGGCCGATTTACGATCGACGCAAAATTTCGACACTTTGGCAATACAAACAAAAATTAAATAAGTTGGCTCACGATCAACGTGAAATTTCCAACAATTTAGACAAACACAAAAAAAATTTCAAAAAGTTAGTTAGCGATCGACGCAGAAATTCTAACAATTTTGAAAAAAAAAATTTCCAATAATGTTATCGACAATAGCAAGATATTGTATCTACAAAATTCGGACAAAAACAAAAAAAATTTCTACAAGACAAAAATTCTCATCAAATTTAATTATTTTCTTGATGTAGCAAGATACGATCACGAAAACAACTATACAAAATTTCATTTAACGAAAATTCTGTCAAATCAAAATTATTATTTCGACAGAGCAAGATCTAATCGAAACAAAACAAATAAAATATGACTCTTTGTCCAACACTTTAAAATATACGTCACAATAATAAAATTTCCAAAAAAAATTCCACGAAATTTTTGTCAATTCACAAAAAAATAAAATTACGTTATAAACAATTATAAAAAAAATGTTCAAAATTTCAGGAAAGTAAACTTTCAAATAAATCAATAGTAAAAAAAAAAATTTTCGACAAAATCATCAATTTGTTCAATATATTGTTCAGTCCAACTGTCAACAGAATTACAAACTGAACACAATTAAAATATTTCAACAATTCAAAATATAATTCACACAAAATATAAAATTAAAATTGACGAAAAAAATTATGAAAATAAATCGTCGTTATTCCCAGTATGTCGCTGTATACATAAGGCAAGTTTAGACTTGAGTTTGTCAAGGTCGGTCACACAAAAGAAATGTAAACACTCTGATCGCCAACCGACGGCGAACTCACCTCTTTCTCTGCCTCGATCTATTTTCTTGCCTTCTCTTTCCTTTCTTTCACCTGGTGAACCGGAAGTCTGTAGGTGCTTCTGCGACCCCTAGTTCACCAGCTCTTCCTAGAAGGTGTTGTACCTGTTCTGTAGGTGCTTCTGCGAACAAGGTAACACCCTTCGCCCGCTTTCCACATCCTGACCCCGAATACTCTTGGTCACTCTGTAGGTGCTTCTGCGAGAGACCAGGGTATTCCCTTCTTCCCCCTGGTAAACCGGATTTCCTATGGGTGCTTCCGTGGAAATCTGGTGCACCAGGTCTTCACACGCACAAACACCACACCAGACCATCCTGGCCAAGTAGAGGTGTTTCTCTCTTGGTCAAGACGATGCTCCACGACGATTCCCCATCTCGATGTGCTTCTCGGGTGGAGGAGACTCGTGGAGAAAATTATCATGCACTAGTTTCGTGTCGGGCAAGAATATGGGAAACGAATCCCATATCTAGCTTCCCCCCGATTTATTTGAAAATCGACCTAGCGTGCACGACCCTAGTCATCGTCCGCGACGTAATTAGAGGGTAACATTCTAGAAGTAACCCGCGCATTTTAATATCGGTCATCCTGACCATCGTCTTCGTGGCGCGTGTTCGCTATTTTAACCATTCCGAATTTGTTTCTTTTCAGAACCGCTCCGAGCAAGGCGGAGAATGTTTCGAGCGAGCGGAAGGACTAGCTTGGCTAGTCATTCTCTAGATAGCTTCTCAATGATTATATTCTTGCATTATATAGAGACATTTTTATTATTCTTTTTTACTTGTTTTATATAGCTGCAATGATATTATATTTATTCTCTTTCTATTGTTAATTATTCTTTTTTTATTTGATTTTTATTTTGTTTAAAATATATTTTCTTACGAAGGTTTAAATTTACGTTTCATTATTGACTTTAACCTTTCCTTGCGAAATCACGAGCGCTCCTATTCCAATTAAATTAATAATTAGCAATATAGATGACGCTTCACGCCATCTATATTTAAAATCTCAAACTAAGCTTAACTTATGTACCCGGACTCCATCCGGCGAGCAGATCCTTTGGCAATTTAAAAATTCAGATCATTACATGGCGCCCGAACAGGGACCTAAAATTTTTTTTTTCTCTTTCTTTTCTCTATTGAGTATCATAAATTAAAAACTAGAATGCTCACCGAAGGGAAAGGGAAGAAGAAGAATACCAATCGGAATTAATTGAGATTTGTCTAGGAGTAATTTGTGATTTCGGAAGGGTAGGAGGCGGAAATTCGTTTTCTTTCATTTCATCACCGCGAGGGCGCTGGCATCGCGTTAGGGTGGGGATAACCATTCGAGTCATTTATATTGAATTGTAACACAGTAGACAGGGTTATCGATTAGTATTACTCTTCGAAGACACTCCAAATTATTTTTTGTTTTTGTATAGACATCATGTATTCTCCAAGCACCGAGAACTGGGTCTATCAGACCATCCGAAGAATTGAAAGATGGTTCCCTGGCTACCCCGCGTACGAAGTCCTCTGTTGGGTTGAGGCAGCCCAAAAAAGCCCAAAAGCCATGTAATGATCTGAATTTTTAAATTGCCAAAGGATCTGCTCGCCGGATGGAGTCCGGGTACATAAGTTAAGCTTAGTTTGAGATTTTAAATATAGATGGCGTGAAGCGTCATCTATATTGCTAATTATTAATTTAATTGGAATAGGAGCGCTCGTGATTTCGCAAGGAAAGGTTAAAGTCAATAATGAAACGTAAATTTAAACCTTCGTAAGAAAATATATTTTAAACAAAATAAAAATCAAATAAAAAAAGAATAATTAACAATAGAAAGAGAATAAATATAATATCATTGCAGCTATATAAAACAAGTAAAAAAGAATAATAAAAATGTCTCTATATAATGCAAGAATATAATCATTGAGAAGCTATCTAGAGAATGACTAGCCAAGCTAGTCCTTCCGCTCGCTCGAAACATTCTCCGCCTTGCTCGGAGCGGTTCTGAAAAGAAACAAATTCGGAATGGTTAAAATAGCGAACACGCGCCACGAAGACGATGGTCAGGATGACCGATATTAAAATGCGCGGGTTACTTCTAGAATGTTACCCTCTAATTACGTCGCGGACGATGACTAGGGTCGTGCACGCTAGGTCGATTTTCAAATAAATCGGGGGGAAGCTAGATATGGGATTCGTTTCCCATATTCTTGCCCGACACGAAACTAGTGCATGATAATTTTCTCCACGAGTCTCCTCCACCCGAGAAGCACATCGAGATGGGGAATCGTCGTGGAGCATCGTCTTGACCAAGAGAGAAACACCTCTACTTGGCCAGGATGGTCTGGTGTGGTGTTTGTGCGTGTGAAGACCTGGTGCACCAGATTTCCACGGAAGCACCCATAGGAAATCCGGTTTACCAGGGGGAAGAAGGGAATACCCTGGTCTCTCGCAGAAGCACCTACAGAGTGACCAAGAGTATTCGGGGTCAGGATGTGGAAAGCGGGCGAAGGGTGTTACCTTGTTCGCAGAAGCACCTACAGAACAGGTACAACACCTTCTAGGAAGAGCTGGTGAACTAGGGGTCGCAGAAGCACCTACAGACTTCCGGTTCACCAGGTGAAAGAAAGGAAAGAGAAGACAGGAAAATAGATCGAGGCAGAGAGAGAGGTGAGTTCGCCGTCGGTTGGCCCGAGAAGCATCTCGAGGCCGGTTGTCGGCGAACTGAAGATTTGGAAACGTGCAGTCAGGTATATTGAACGGCGAGGAAAGAGAGCTGTGGTGCGCGCGGTAAGGGGAGAGCGCCGGCGGCGCGGCAAGCGTGCGCGTTCGTTACTCTCTACTCAGCTGGCTGCGAGAGAGCTGACTAGAGTATATCTATATGATATACTATGTAAATTTGAATTTGATTTTACGCGAATAGTTTATTATGATTTCGAAAGAAATACTTTTCTTTACACACTTCAAGATAAGATTATTGGCAAAATTTACAAAATGAAAAAAATCCAACGTGGCCTTACGTTAGGCGCCAAATGAGACGGAATAATTTGTTATTAAGAGAAATATATTAAAATAAGAAAAAATTATCAATGTTAAAATTATTCCTCACCCAGCGCGACCGGGTTCAGAGTTGCTAGGGCTCTATTTGACAATATAAAATAAAATAACAATTTTAGTTGCACGCGGACACCAGTTAATTTATTAATTAAAATCAACAAAAGACTTAAATCACAGGGAGGGAAGTTGGTGAACCCAAATACAAAATATAAAAATAAAATATTAAGCGACTTCCAGGAATATTAAATTTATTACAAAAGATCAAATAGAATATACATTAATCACTTACTTGTCCTATCAAATATGATCAAATACTCTTTTATATTGATAAAAATTGTAGAATTGGTCATTGCAGAATCGGTATTTATAATTATCAATGTATGAATAATCGGAAATTGAAGAATCGGTATTTAAAATATATTAGTCTTATAAATTAACAGAAATTGTAGAATCGGTCATTGAAGAATCGCGATATATAATAATCAATTTATGTATGATCGGAATTTGTAGAATCGGAATTTCAAATATTTTACTCTTTCATATTGATAAAAATTGTAGAATCGGTCATTGAAGAATCGAGATTTATAATTATGAATTTATAAATAATTGGACTTTGTAGAATCGGTATTTAAAACATATTATTCTTATACATTAACAGAAATTTGTAGAATCGGTCATTGAAGAATCGGGATTTATAATTATCAATTTATGTATATTTGGAATTTGTAGAATTGGTATTTCAATTATTTTATTCTTATACATTAAGAGAAATTGTAGAATCAATCATTGAAGAATCCGGATTTACAATTATTATTTTATTTATTAGCGGAATTTGTAGAATCGGTATTTCAATTTTTTTATTCTTATACATTGATAAAAATTGTAGATTCGGTCATTGAAGAATCGGGATTTATAATTATCAATTTATGTATAAGCGGATTGCAAAATTTCTATATCCACTTTTGAACATAATTTGTAGAATCGGTTTTTAAAGAATCTGGATTTTTTGTTTTACGGTTTGTTATATTTATTACTTTAACAATCTTTTTTTTAGGGTCAGTCATTGAAGAGTAGAACGTTGTGTACGGTTTTTTTTGTACAGTTGGTTGTGTAGAATCGGGTAATTGTAGGATTGAAAAAGGTTGAATTGACTTACTGTCTAGAAATTTGGTGCTGACTTTAAAGCAAGATATTTTAAGTTAAAAAAAAGAGAATTCTAACTTAGATGGTTGGAAAGCTGATAAAATTCTGCTTCTCAATGTATATCAAGACATTTTTTTTTTTGGTATTTATTACACCGAAAAAATTTCAAGAAAAAATTATGCAATTTTGTACTAATGTTTTTGACTTCCGGCATAATCTAGAAAAATGCATTGAAAAATTTGACAATTTGACAAGATAATTGCCTACTATTTGAATTTTTTTGTTTATAAATGCAATAAAAAAAATTTTGGCTTTTATGTTTTTTGAAGATTTTTTCATGCTCTTTCCAATTGTCAATTTCGTTTTTTCAATTTTTTGAATCTAATACAGGTATATACAGGTATATATATATATTTATTTTTATTTTCAAAACAAAAAGGAAGAAGATTAAGATTTTAGACGAAGATATTCTTATGCCATTTTGAATTGTCTGGATAGAGAAACGCAATGTTAAACAAAGTAATACTTATGTTATACTTATATTCCTTGGTGTAATGAAGAAAGGTATGCGTTACCTATTCAGTTTTAGACTATATTTATAGCTTTTTCACGTGATAATGGGAGAAAGAAATTATTACCTGGGTCCTCAGAGTTATTAATTAATCCTCTTTAACAGATTGCAGGTCAAGCGAACCCTCATTTGCAAAATAAAGATATATCTTTCTCTCTCCATAACTTGTTCTTCTCTCTGTCACCGCAAACACAACACGGTTGTGTACCGAATGAATGAATGAACTGGCAAATTATTATAAGTAATAATAATTGAAACATTCACTACGCTTTAAGTTAATTAAACTGTTCATTTTTATACAAAATCTTCAATAATTTAAACATAGGTACGCGGGTGCCTCGTCCGCCCGTAGAAGGTGTTTTTTTCCTCAATCCCATAGAGGTTAATCCTTATTATGAAACGAGTAGATATGCAAATTAGGTAGAAGAAGACATTCTTATGTTAACTTGTTTTGGAATGAAGAAGAAAATGCATGGTTTGAATTTGAAGAGAGATAATGCTATGTAAGTTTTATGGGAAGACAAAGTAAGGAACAGTAAGATTTTTAGACGAAGATATTCTTATGGCAGTTGTAATTGTGTAGGAAAAGATAGACAATTTTAAAGGAAGAAGTTCTTATGTTATTCTTCCTTGATAGAGGGAGAAAAGGCTAGCGTTAAATCGGTTGTTTATATGCCAAAAACCAAAGAGAGTAAGATTTTCAGAAAAAGACATTCTTATATCACTTTGGGCTAGAAGGAGAAAGAAATCATTACCTGAGTCCTCAAAGTTTATTGCCATTAACAAAGGCCCTATTGTACAAAGGGTTCATATTATCTGTATTGTATACTTTGAATATTATACGCGTGTATATATATATATATATATATATATATATATATATCTGCTATCATTGGTAAGTGCGAGTGAGAGGTAATAGTATTTAGTAGTATTTGATTCTATAATAAAGAAGGTGGTATGCTCAAGTTAGCCATGTTGTAGTCTGCTTCCTTGAGGCACGAAATTCAATTTAAGTGCGGAAAAAAATTACATATACGGTAATAATTATCAAGCAAACGCGATTTAATAAAATTTGTGACTATTACAATAAATATTCAGTTTTGTTAAGTGATTTTTTTTTTTTTTTTTTTAAATTTATTACAATAAATATTAAGTTTTGTGAAGTGAGTTGTGTTTTTTGAAATGTACTAATTTTGTGATATTATTTATTAATTTTGTTTAATAAGTGAAAAGTATTGACATTCAAAAGTGAATTAATTAAATTTTTGACTATAATAGTAAGTATACAGTATTGTTAAGTGAGTTGTATTTTTAAATTATTGTTTTTTGTGACTATAACAGTGAATACAATATTTTGTAAAGTAAGCTGTGTTTTTTGAAAATTTGTGAATTAATTATATTGTAAATAAAAAATGTAAATAGGATTAAGGAAAAGTGAAGCTTGTTCATAATATTTTTTCTTTACACAGTGAATATTATAATAATTTTCTATATACATATTTATAAAAATTGTGTGATTGTGGTGATACATTTTTTATGGTGGTTTTGGAAATTAAAATTTTTGGTCAAAAAAATGAAGTAAGAGATAATGGGATTAAATATATGAAAATGGGAAATATATAATAAAAAAATGGGATATATATGGCAATGGGAAATATAAAATGGAAAAATGGGATACATGTATAGAAATGGAAAAAGAGAGTTAGCTTTATAAATGGAAATTGCAAATTTTGTTTATGGAAAATATAAAAAATTGTTAAAATTTTCGTATTAAGTATTTAATATTTTTGTAATTATAAACCGATGTAGGATCCAGAATGTAATATTTTTGTAATTATAATCTGATATAGGAATGTTTTCATGAATTGAAAGCAATATGTTTTTACAAATTCATGAAATTATTGAGTAGATAACAATTTTCCAAATTTGTAAACATTAAAGAAACCATGGCAAACATAGAATTATCTGTTAATTTAAGTGAGGTAGATTTTAGGATCATAGTTGATCAAAAGGAAATGTTGAATGATAATCATATGCATGAATTTCAAAAATTGTTGAAAAGAGAATCAAATAATGTATTTAATATGCAAAGCACGTTATTAGTGCAAATGTTTGATTTTATTATTCCTATTAGTAGAGATAAAAAGCATATTCAAATACTTTTTAGTGGTTCTTTGAATTATGGGCACTGGATATGCACATATTACGATGGAGCAAGACTTAATATTTATGACAGTCTTAATCGAGGACGTTTAAATCAAGATGAGAGAGAGTATTTGCTTAGATTATATCCTTTCAAACCAGTTGTAGTTTTTTGGGCAGTTCATCCACAAGCGGTCGGTAGTGTTGATTGTGGTATATTTGCAATAGCGTTTGCAACAACAGTTTTTTTCAATGAGATGCCGAACACCCTCGATTATGTTTATGAAAAAATGAGAGATCATTTAAATTTTATGTTTAGGAATAATAGTTTAATTCCTTTTCCTGCTAAAAAAACTTCCCAGAATAGACGTTTTTTTATAGAAGGAGATTGGGATTGCCTTGTTATCGATAGAAAGGAAGAATTAATTCAGAAAAAATTAAATACTTATATCATTTCAAATGAAAAAAATAACTACGAACAAATAGGAAATATTGAAAATAAAAATAATATTTCAGCTGAAGTATTTAAAAAGAATCAAGTAGAGCTTGAATTTAATTACAGAAAAAAAATAACATCAAATATTAAATTATGTTCTTTGTCTGAAAAAAGTAATAAAAAAATTGATTTTACTAAAAAGAAAGATATTATTTTAAATAACGTAATTCCATCAACTATAATGGTTAATGGAGATTCAATTGAAATAAAAAATAAGATCTATGTAGGTTTAGAAAACCATCGTAAATTGTTATTAGATAGAACAGTAAGTATTGAAGAAGAAGAAAATTCTTCAATGGTTGTAGTTGAAAATAGTTCTTTAGATATTATAAAAAATGATAGTAGGAAATTAAATTTGAAGACTGAAACTGATATGTTAAATAATTTTGATAAATTAAATCATTCTTCTGAAAATCATAAAAAAAGTAAAGCCGAATATCAGAAAGCTTATCGTGAAAGAATAAAAATGAAAAAAATGAATGAAATAAAACTTTCTAAAGAAAACAATGCTAAATATCAGAAAGCATTTCGTAACAGATTTTTAAAAAATAATGTTATTGAATCAAGTTCTTTGTCTCCTTCTTCAAGTGGTGTAAACTTTTTGGAAAAAAATATTGAAAGTAACAAAAGAAATGATAATAATTTCTTAAGTAGTGACCTTTCATTAATTTCAAATATAAATGTTAATTTGAAAACAAAAAATAATAATTTCTTAAGTTTGCACAATTCAGATCCATTATTGTTAGATAATATAGAAAATGTGGAAAATGAATTGAATTCCTTGGTAAATATGGCGAAAAAAAAAGAAGATGATAAAAAATGTTATCACAAGCTAAAGTGTAAACGTAAAATAAATATGTCAATAAATGAAATAAATAAAAATTATAAAAAAGTAAAAAAATGTGATCCAGAAAATGAATTTTATATTGAAAATTATTTGGGTTCGATGAATTATTGTTGCACTCATTGTCAGGCTAAGCATTTTAAAGATGAATTAGTTAATGCAAAAAAGTACTCATGTAATGATTGTTGTGGCCATGGTGGTGTTTTTCTGCCTACAGTTGAATATCCAAATGAATTAAGAATATTGTTAGAAGGACATCATGAAAAATCTGCTCATTTCAGAAGAAATATAAGAGCATATAATAATTCCTTTTCTTTTGCTTCTTTAAATGCTAATGTAGTTAAATTTAATGGTAGAAGACAAGGACCATTTTGTTATAAAATACAAGGTCAAATTTATTATCAAATAAATAGTGCATTATTTCCAGAAAAAGATGAAGATCCATGTTTTGGACAATTATTTATATATGATCCAGAAGACTCTATTCGTTATAGATTGAAACATAATGAAATATTAGATGAACAAATTTTACAAATTATAGAAAGACTAATGAGAGATGATAATGTATATACGAAATCTTTGTTGATGATGTCTGAAGTTATTAAAATAGAAACTGAATTAGCAAGAAAAAATAAAGGTGAAATTCCTGATTTGCAATTACTATTTACATTGAAAAAAGGTGTAGATAAAAAAAGGTACAATTTTCAAAGATGCAATGAAGTAGCTGCAATTTTTAATACGAATTCAGAGGGTGAAATTCCGGAATCTTATATTACGGTTTATAATAAATCCAACAAACAATTACAAGTCGTAAGTAATTTAGATCCTAATGTTGAACCTTGGATATATCCAATATTTTATCCACTAGGGAATAAAGGTTATTCTATAGATATGATTCGTAGAGACAGCGATAAAAGAAACAGAAATCATACAATTTCAAGATCTGCTTACATAAAATATAAAATAGCTATAAGAGATAATGAATTTAATCAATTTTTATTAGGAGGTAGATTATTTCAACAGTGGGTGGTTGATAATTATGTCAAAATTGAAAAAGATAGATTGAAGTTTTGTGCAAATAATCAAGGTCAATTGAGAAGTGAAACATATAAAGGATTAATTGATTATTTATATAATGAAGAGTCGAAAAGTGACGTACATGTTGGAAAAATGTTAATACTCCCCTCCACATTCATAGGGTCACCTCGCAATATGATGCAACAATATCAGGATTCTATGGCTATTGTAGGGCATCATGGTAGGCCAGATTTATTCATTACAATGACCTGTAATCCACATTGGAAAGAAATTCAAGAAAATCTAATGCCTTTTCAATCTGCTTCCGATAGACCTGATATTGTGGCAAGAGTTTTTTCTTTAAAAGTAAAACATTTAATTAAAACTATTGTCGATGATAAGTTATTTGGAGAGGTAAAATCTTTTGTTTATGTTATTGAGTTTCAAAAACGGGGGTTACCGCATATTCATTTGTTGGTTATATTGACCGAAAATTGTAAAATATTATCACCAGAAAGTGTTGATCAGTATATTTCAGCAGAAATTCCTGACGAAAACGTTAATCCAAAATTGCACAAAATTATAATGCAAAATAATATTCATGGTCCTTGTGGAGATTGGTGTATAGTTGATGGAAAGTGTTCTAAAAATTTTCCAAAAAATTTTGAAGAAAATACAACATTTGAAACGAACAATTATGTTCTTTATCGTAGAAGAAATACAGGTAAAACTTATAATAGACCAAATGGGTATAATGTTGATAATAGGTTTGTTGTACCTTTTTGTCCTAAACTTTCAGAAATATTTAATTGTCATATTAATGTGGAAGTTGTGTCAAGTATTAAGTCGGTAAAATATTTATATAAGTACATTTATAAAGGGCATGACGCTGCTTCTATTATTATTACGAATAGTAATGGTGAATCTGTTATCAATCATGATGAAATTAATCATTATGAAGAAAATAGATATGTTGGTCCTGTTGAAGCTGTTTGGAGAATTTTGAGCAAACCTTTAGGAAAAAAGAGTCATAGTATTAATCGTTTACCTGTTCATTTACCAAATGAACAAAATGTTCTTATACATACAGATGAAGGTAACAGTAAAATTTCTTTTGATTTAAAAAAGACATCAAAACTATTAGAATTTTTTGAATTAAATAAACGCGATAAAAATGCTAATCAGTATTATTATTCGGAAATTCCAGAACATTATACATGGATACAAAAAAGTTTGCAATGGAAAAGAAGATTACGCAAGGAAAAGGTATTAGGAAGAATGTATTCTGTTAGTCCATCGCAAGTAGAATTATTTCATTTGAGATTACTATTGCTAACATGTAAAGGGGCTACTTCATTTGAAAATTTGAGAACAGTAAATGGAGTTATTCATGAAACATTTACTTCTACGTGTCTAGCACTGGGACTCATAGAAGATGATTATGAGTGGACTAGAACAATAGAAGAAGCTGCAATTTGGATGATGCCTCATGCACTTCGCAAGTTATTCGTAAGAATTTTGATTCATTGTCATCCAGTACATCCTTATGAATTGTGGGAACGATTTAAAAGTGAAATGTCTGAAGATTTAAAAAAAAATAATATTTCTGCAGCAGAAGATGAAGCTTATAGAAATATAAAGACATTGTTGTCTAATGAAGGATACAGTTTAAATCATTTTGAAGGCATGCTTGAGATTGAAGAGGAAGAAGTACTTTTAGAGAGAAATAATGATATTGACATCATAGATCATAATGCTTTGGGTCTAGAAAAATATAATAATTTAAACTTTAAACAAAAATGTATTGTTGATCATATTATGAAAGCAGTTGATGATTCATCAAAGAACATTTGTAGATATATATACGTTGACGGTGCTGGAGGTTCTGGAAAAACTTTTTTGTATAAAACATTATGGCATTTATTGCTAAGTAGAGGAAGAAAAGTATGTAATATGGCATTTACTGGAATAGCTGCCACTTTACTTCCGTGCGGGAAAACTGTTCATAAAATACTGGGTTTACCTGTTCCTCTATTTAGCGATTCACATTCAAATATTAAAGTGCAATCAAAGGAAGGAAATTATCTTAAAGAAATTGACGTTTTCATTTGGGATGAAGCACCAATGGCTCCAAAGTATGCCTTGGAAATAATGGACAGACTATTAATGGATTTAATGAAATCATCTGAACCTTTTGGGGGTAAAGTTTTAATTTTGGGAGGAGATTTCAGACAAATTTTACCTATTAAAGATCGAGGTACAAAATCTGAAATTTTAAATTTATCAATTAAGTATAGTAAACTTTGGAAGAAATTTACAAAATTTACATTGTCAGAAAATATGAGAGCTTTGCCAGAAGAAACAGAATTTGTAGATTTCTTACTTAGAATTGGAAACGGACAATTGAATAAAAATGGTGATAATATTTTATTACCAAAAAAAATTATTCAACCAAAAGATGCAGATATTGCCAATGATACGTATGGTCACTATATAAAAAATAAACAATTTCAAGACATGGCACTCTGTGCAATATTATCATCTAGAAATGTTGATGTTGATGAAATAAACAAGAGAGTAGTAAATTTATTAAATAAGGATAAAGAAAAAATATATAAAAGTATTGATTCTACTGAAAATTGTGATAATGGTAATTATCATGAAGTTATTTTACCAGAATATTTAAATACACTTTCACCATCATGTTTACCACCACATGAACTGCATTTAAGAATCTATTCTATTGTCATGCTTATTCGAAATCTTAGTATTAATGAAGGATTATGCAATGGGACAAGATTGCTAATTTTAGATTTATTAAACAACGTTATGAAATGTCAAATTTTAACAGGAGACAAATGTGGAAATATTATATTTTTACATCGCATTACTTTATATTGTGAAAATGTGTATCCTTTTGCATTTAGAAGAAGGCAGTTCCCTGTTAAATTAGCGTTTGCTATGACTATAAATAAATCTCAAGGACAAACTTTTAAGAAAATAGCCATCGACTTAAGAAGAGATGTATTTAATCATGGTCAGTTATACGTCGCATTGTCGAGAGTATGTTCTTTCGATTCAATAAAAGTATATTTAGGATATAATAGAGTTGATAAGTATATTAAAAATATTGTTTATAAAGAAATTTTAAATGATAATGATGGATGATTATATTATGGGCTTCCAACAATAAATTAGATAACATGTCATATTATTTTATAAAATTAAAAATATCGAATCCAATATAACGAAAAGAAGGTAAAAAGTTTATAATTTTTTTTCAAAATTACCATATAGAGGTTTTTGGGGTTGCTGATTACAAAGGTGTCCGATTTTCTAAATGTAAAATAGCGAATCGAAAACAACAAACATTAAAATTAAGAAGTTATAAATCCAGATGTTCATTATATGAATATTTTGCTTTTTCTTTGCAATCAGCAAAGAAATTTGCTTCTTTGTAGCGGAAGCATTAACATTAAAAGAACTATTCATTGATTAATTTTTGACGGAAAAAAGATTTTATTATAAAGTAAATATGATTCTTAAGAAATAAATAAATTTGACTGAAAAAAGTGAATTTTACGGCTTTAATTCATAATTAATGAAACCAAAAACTGAAATTATTTTTTTTTTGCTTTTGACAATGAAAGAAATGTGGTAACAGTGTTTTTGTAATTTTATTCTTACTTTTTCGTCGGGAAATTAATATATTGGAAAGGGCTCTATGACATTAAAGAATGACATTTTTATTTTTCATTTAAGATATTGTAGAATATTTTTGGATTATAATATGTGAACTGGAGAGTGGGAGTGGCCTACTCAAAAAGGAATGTATTTATATTTGTATAGAGATATATTTATAAATTTTTTAAAAATGGTTTAAACAAATTTTCTTTTATATAGAAGTATATTATATTATATGATCCCGTTTGTTGAGAACACGATAACTCGAAGAGATATTAAGGAATCTGGGTAAAAATTCCTGGGTATATTTACCATATTAATATCTCAAAATTGTCGAGAAGATTTTTGAAAGTCTTAAGGTATCACATCGGTAAAACCGTTTTCTATAGATTTTCTTGAAAATTTTACCATATGTTCTTATTATCATTCTTGACAAATTTGCAAAATATGAAGAATTTTCACCGTACGAAACCAGAGATATTAGCAATCAAAGTTGCTTATTTTGCATGGGAGACGGGACTAATGTATGGGGGAGAAGTACATTTTCATAAATATCATCAGAAGTTTTCTATAAATTTTTTTCAAAAACTAATGTTGAATTCACGAATAAATTTGGAACTAAAATATACAAAAAAATTTATAGTTTACCGTGCCGTTTATTTGTAATTATAAATTAAAAATTCTATTTCATGACGTCATTTGCAATATATAGCACACCCGCCACTTTGATGTGGCAACATTGCAGGATGGTAACATTAGTTAGAGAGAGACAGTAGTCCACAGTAGTCAAAGCGAGACTTATAGCGACGTTGTCAAACCTCCTACTCCTTCCAATCGCTGCTAGTGTGGGGTATACGTGTACGAGTGTATTTGTAGAAGTAGGTACAGTATGGGCTGAGAGTATAGGGAGTTGAGGGCGAAAGTATAGTGCGGGAAGTATTAATGCGAACTACAAACTTTTGACTCCGATTAGTGCCGATGTGATACCTTAAAAAAAAAAATTTTTTACTTTTATCCAAAAATTCATTTTTTTCAAAAAAAAATTGTTTTGTTGGATAATAAAGTTAATATATGATAAAATTTTACTCTTTGCATGAAGACAAATCGATTAGTCAATATAAAGTATAAATTATATTATAATTTAGAGAATGAATAACAATTAATGTCGAAAAATTGACATTTCTATTAAAAATTAAATTTTTTATTTAAAATTATATTAAGTATAAATAAAGTATATATTTTATTGAAAATTAATATCAATCACAATTAAATCTGGAAAATTCACTTTTTTATTGAAATTTGTTTATTTAATCAAAATTATGTTACTATGTAATAAAATATTATTCATTATAATAAGAATTAATCAATAAATAATTCTTGCATCGTAAAGAGACAGTCAGGGTTTTGATATACCCTTAAAAAACCCAACATTTTACCCCAAAATGTCTAAATGAAACGAAAGTCTTTTTTCTCTTTGTCTCACTATGATTATTTTATGTTTATGCGGTCGCTGAATCCGAATCTGAAGCCTATTTAACCCCACCATGTCATGGTTGTGATATAACCACAAAAAAACAAAATTGACCCAAGAAATGTTGAAATGATGATAAATTCTCATCTTTAAGTCTCACTACGACTGCTTTATATTTTTTGAATGCGGATCTAAAGCCTGTTTAAGTATATCATCTCAAGGTTTTGACATAACCTCAAGAAAACCAAAATTGAACTCAAAAATTTTGAAATCAGGAAAAATTCTTATCTGTAAGTCGGACTCTATTTAACCCATTCACGTCAGAATTTTGAAAAAAATTCGAAAAACCCCAGAAATATAAAGCAGTCATAATGAGACAAAGAGATAAGAATGTTTCTTGATTTCTAAATTTTGTGGTAAAATTTTTGGTTTTTTAGGGTCATTTTAAAACCCTGACGTGATCAAGTTAAATAAACTTCAGATACGCTTTTAGCGTCCCCAAAAACATGAAGTAGTCATGGTAAGTCATAGGGATAAGAATTTTTCATGATTTAAAATTTTTTTGGTCTAATTTTGGTTTTCTTAAGGATATGTGTAAACCCTGACGTGATGGGATGAAACAGGCTTCAGATTCGGTTTCAGGGACCTCGAAAACTTAAAGTAGGCATTGTCTGGTCAAAAGATCAAAATATGAATTTTTTGTATGCCAGTGTTGTAATTGTTACATTATAACAAATGTTATTTAATATTTATAAGGATTTTATTATGAATATTTTTATTATAAAACATAAGTAACTTATTATGGAAAAAAGAAATACATAGTGTGGTAACGATTTATAAAAAAATGATTTTCTGAATTTTATGACTTTTTCTTCGAAATATTATTAATTTCTATTTCAATAAAATTTTTTTTAAGTTAACATATGACTTCCGTCCATATTAATATTTTTTAATCCAGTATGGCTAAGATTTTAAGTTATATTAATGCCTAAAAAGCTTCCAAGTTTCACTTCAATATGTCAAACTGCTTTTGCGTGAATCGCGATCGAAATTTTGTGGACAGACACACATGCATACATACATACATACATACAGACATTTTTTTCTTATTAGTGTTTCCAAATCATTAAGGATATATGAAAAATAAATATTTAAACAATTTTCAATTCTATGTAATGTGCAGACAAAAGTCTGATTTTATTTATAAGGAGGATATACATATATATATATATATATATATATTATAGATATTTAGAGTAGAAAACAAATTCCAAATTTATATATTAACAGTACGAAGATTTAACAATTTTTAAGTACTACGATTAAACAAAACCAAATTATCAATGTCACTAGCAAAAAATATCACAAAATCAAATGATAGTGATCATTAAAAAACATAAATTTGAGCACTTTATGGTAGTCATATTTGTGTGTAAAATTAAGTAAGTATATATACTATAGCTATTTGTGGTAGAAAATAAATTCTAAATTAATATATCGTTATTACGAAAATTTAACTAATTTTGTGAACTACGATTAAACAAAATTAAATTCTAATCATGATTAACAAAAATATGACAAAATCAAATAATACTGATCATTAAGAAACTTAAATTTGAGCACTTTATGGTAATCACATTTGTGTGTAATATTAAGTTAGTATATATACTATAGCTATTTGTGGCAGAAAACAAATTCTAAATTAATATATCGTTAGTACGTAAATTTAACCAATTTTGAGTACTACGATTAAACAAAACTAAATTCTAATCATGATTAACAAAAATATAACAAAATGAAATAATACTCTAACAACTTGAATTAATTAACTGAATTAAGAACTTAAATTTGAATAATTTATGGTAATCAATGTGTAAAATTAAGTTTCGATATCTTCTCTATGCAATTGTCCTTCGTTGACTCTCTTAAGTTCTCGATAGCCTGCAATGACTTCTTTTAGAGGAAGTTGATCCCTACCTAATGGTTGAATATCACTTTCTGAGTCCAATTGAAGATAAATTCTTCCTCCTATAGAAAGAAAAGAATTAATAAACTTCAACAGAAATGAATTAGGAATATTGAATTAATAAAATTAATAATGATGATAGTTATTGATAATTTGTAATGAATAAGTATTATTTTCTTATGGGATTTTTGAGGAAAATCAAAGCCTCGAAATACTAGAAACTATTTCTTGGAAATTTCAATTTTAATTTATTTTCAAATAATGAATCGCATGAATTTTAAAAAATTTAATTTTTTTCCAAAAATAATATTTTGAAAGTGTTCAAAAATACCTTTTTCTTAATTTTAATATTAAAAAATAAATGTCTAAACAATGCTAGAAAATCATTGTCGGAAGTTAAATATCGATGGTTGGAAATTTGTTTTTATGTGTACATTCCTTATTAGAAAACGAGTATTTATGAAAATTGAAATAAATACTTTACACAAGGTAAACTTTTGGTATAAATCGCCAATTGGGTACATATGGTTGTGGGTCAGTAACAAATGGAAACTTTAAATTAGAAGTGAGAATAGCTTCATTTCGAAACACTTTAACTTGCCAAAAATGTGATGCTGTTCAATTAACCGGAAAAGTTCAAACACAAGGTGTAATTAAGTATACCTTGTGTTTGAACTTTTCCGGTTAATTGAACAGCATCACATTTTTGGCAAGTTAAAGTGTTTCGAAATGAAGCTATTCTCACTTCTAATTTAAAGTTTCCATTTGTTACTGACCCACAACCATATGTACCCAATTGGCGATTTATACCAAAAGTTTGGAATACAAATTTGCTTTTGATGTATGCACAAAGTTCTGAAAGTTAAAGAACATATTAGAAAATGCTTTAAAACAATTTCATAAGAAAATTAAAATTTGATACTTTGTTTTCATACTATGTTTATTAAAATATTCTTAGATTTTTTTATATTTAATTAAAAAATAGCCAAAATAACGCGTGTATAGTTTCTAATTATGTCATTAAATATTTAAGAATATTGTCTATAATTTTCAAATTTTTTTATAGAAAATATATTGAACCGGTGTTAATTGAAATTTACTTTAAAGAAAACTTAGCCTCAAATAAGAATACATAGAAATTGGACACAAAATGCGTACAAAATTAATATTTTCATTTTCATATCTTGAAGCAGTTGAAAAATTAACGTTACTAACGTTAACTAATATTAATTTAATATTAGTATCAAAAAAATTTCTGCAGTATTTTGTCAAAGAAATTTTTTGGAACTAAAGTTAGAATAACGTTAGTAATATAAACTAGCGTTAACTTTTGCAGTTGGGGATTGTTAAAAATAGTTAGATCCCTTTCCTACCACCAATATTTTACGTAATTTATGAACGATCGTTTGTACATTTTTATACATAGTTAAAAAAGTATAATAAATAATATAAATTACTTATAACTTGATTTTCGAAATGGATAATATCACCCATATCCACATCAGGAATATTAGAGGTTTCTTCGTCCTCTGGCACATGATGCACTCCTAAGTCATTAATGATTGTGGTTGGAAAAATTTGTAATTCAAACGTAACGTTTCCATGATTGAATTCTGGTTTTGTTGGAACTCGCGAGCATGCACCATCAATATGTACAATCTAAAATTTTTAAAAATATTTTCTAATATTAATGGTAGTAGTTAAAACGAAATACATTTTTAATTATATGAAATTGTTAAGTGAAATAAAAATATACACAGAAAGAACTTGAACTTATTTTTGTTGCAACTGAAAAATAGTCTTGTTAAATGACATAGAACGTGGCGCCATATACCTTACTAATTTTTAATGCGTTTCAAATTGAGTATGAATTTGCTACTCAATTTAAGAACAAGTTTTTTCAGTGTACGGAATATAAAATTTTTAGTGAAATAAAATATTGAAATGGTAACAATTTTTAAATGCTGAAGAATTTGAAATATAGTAAAATTTAAAAATGTGATATAATTTGAAATTGTATTAAAATTGAAATTCATTCAAAAATGCAATTTCTAAATTGTTCTTTAACATAAAAAAAAAAGATTGAAAATTTAATTTAAATTGTGAATGAAATATTATATTGTATAAAAATTTTAAAATTCACAAAAAAATGTTTTTATTAAAAATGCGTAATTATTAGAGTGAAAAAATTAAATTACAGGAACTTCAAAATACAATCAGGATTTTGAGATAAAATTTCTCAAGTGGACCAACGGAAACAGGGCGCGCAACGTCTAATTTTGAATTCAATTTCTCGCAAACACATTTTTCTCCAATTCTAAAATTTATATATTTCATTGTAAAAATATTAATTTTTATTGAAATTATTTATAAGTAAATTAAAAACACTAAAATTTGTCAAAATTCAATAATAAAAATGAATTTTGAAAAAAGTGATTGAAAATTTTTTTTTGAAAAATTTTTTGTAAGCAGAAAAAATTACGTCAAAAATTCTTTAAAAACCAATTCAAACTATACTCTGAAATTCACATATTTTATTGAAAGAAATTTTACATTCTCAAAAAAATTATTTTAAAAAATAAAATACTAACATTTGTCAAAATTCCAAAAGAAAATATAATTTTAGAAAAAGGGGTTGGAAATTTTGTTTAAACATCCAAAGTATGTGGAAGATACTTTAAAATCCTGTTTTGATTGACTTATAGAAATTTTAAAATTACAGTATTTTTGAAAATAAAAATTTTCACAACCTCTACTTCTGAAATTGTTTTTCAAAACAAATAATATTTTAGTGCATTACGATATAAAAACTTAGGTAAGTTACTTTAATGATTAGGCTTAATTTAGCCAAACATGCTATGCGAAAAGAAACCTAAGCAGCAAAGTGACTTACTAAAATTTTATATCGTATGCAGTTTAAACATTTGTTGTTCTCCTATAGAACAACAATTTGTGAAAATATTAAAGAAACATTCCTTTTAAATACTCTAATAATTGTTTCGTAAATTTTAATTTTTATCAACTACGTTAAATAATTCCATAAGTCCATGTCTACTTTATTAAAAAAGTTTTATTATTTACCAAAATGTAGTTTTGAAAACTAATAATGTAGTTGGAACTATAAAATATAGAAATTATTTTGAAATTCTTGAAATCAATAAAACAAATAGAAATAAATTAAGTAAAGAAATGATTAATTCAACCAATATTTATTTGACTACATAATGATATTTTTATTTTTTGAATAATTTTTTTTTTTTAACTTTATTAAATGTTAAAAAATAAAATTAACAGAGTCAAAGAATAATAAAAAATGTTTTTGCTTGTCTTATGTAGAGAAATATGTCTCTCTACTTCATTTATGTGGTCAGTGCCCCATATTACGCATTGAATTTTCTTCCCTGCATCATTATTTAAAAAGAATTTCATTAATTCTGTTCTTCCCATGTTTTTCCGTGGAATTATGGATTCTATAAATCCAATAATTTCCCTGTAACATTTCATGAAACAACGTTATGGACTGAATATAAATATATATTATTTTGAAAATATTATTTTTATTTATAAATTCATTTATAAATTCATTCATTCATTATTACTATATATAATATATGGTATTATATGTTATATATATTATTATATTTATTATTATTATATTATTATTATACCTTGTATGAAGTTTTTCCATGAATTTATGAATAAAAAAAATGTATATATATGTAATATATAATTTATTTATTTAAACATATAATATATTTATATTACTATTATTATTATGAAAATTTATAAATATATAATTTATAAAACTTACACCGTCCTATCCCAAAACTGTATGGCCTCTATTGCTTCGTTAGAAGTAAAATCCATTTTTTTTTATTTTGCTGAAAGATAATAATATTTTTATAATATTAAATTAATAAATAATATAAATAATTGTGCAAATGAACACTTATTATTATAACGTTATTCACATTTAAATTTCTCCAGAAATTTATGTAAGAAGAACTTTTTTTTAGTACAATTTGAAAATGATAGTCCCAAATGTATACAAAGGGAAGATAATACTGATGGAATCTAAATTACATTCTGAGAAATTATGTTTTTCTTTGGCGTACTTTATTTCAATATTAGTGACCTATTCTCCGCAGTTATTTTTCTTTCTATAGTTACATTTTAAAATCTTAAAGTTTCTAAATGTCTTAAAAGTGAGGAAATATTATATTTAATTGAAATAGAAAATTATTGTTAGATACATTTTCTTTATATAAATAGAATTTTATCTTTATTTCAATTAATTCAAATTTATTTTTGTAACAATTTAATGTAGTTCAAAAAATTAATGAATCAATAAATAAATTATTTATATAATTATAATATAAATCACTATTGGTAATTTTTTTACTTCCCACAAAGTAGTTGAAATATTTGTATAAAAGAACTATAATAGTAAATTATATAGAATACGTAAAATGAAATTTATATATATTTATATATAATTCTAACATATTTTATATGTACATATTTATGTATTTCTATAATTTACAAATAAATTATATAAATACATAAATATGTACATATAAAATACGTTTGAATTATATATATATATATCTACATATATATATATATATATATATATATATATGTATTTTTTATTTTACGTATTCTATATAATTTATTATTATAGTTCTTTTATAAAAATATTAATATATATATATGTATGTGTTTGTGTGTGTAAATATTAAAGAAAATTAAAAATTATGAAACACGATAGAAAATTTAATATCTTGCTTACCTCTTTCAATTGCCCTTTGTGCACTGACGGTGACAAATCACTTACTGAAACTAAATTTGGTCGATTCCAAGATGTGTAACATATACCAAATTTCAAAAAAGAAAGGTAGGGATATTATGGGATGTATAGCGCATGTCATTAAAGACTTATATTAAAAAAAAGACATATATATGTATATAGTACGAGAGATTTTGAATCACGCAGTAGAAGGAGTAAGTAATAGATACACGATAAAGACGCACTTATGTGGAACGTTTGCTTTTTCTAATGTTATTGAAGTTTACCTTATTGTATAATTACTGTTTCGCTCAATGCTACTTGGCTGGTAATAGAGCGTGCGTTCGAAAGCTCAGAGAGTTATTTTACCCGATTCTTCTTATATATGGGGTAGAATTATTTAACTGTTCAGGTGAACGGTTAAAATTTATTGAAATGACTTGATTTTTTGATAATTTGTCACTCTATGTAAAAGTAACAAATTCCTGAAAATATAAGTTGTTCATTTCGGTAGGTTAGTGGAAAAAAGGACACGTCAGATTTTTGTTGAGAAAGAGGATAGTTCGCGTTGAAATTGGAGAAAAGCACAAGTCGAATTTTTTTTTCGAATATTACAGTTGGTAACACTATCATTAAGGTTGACATTTAAATACTTATTTATTTGTCAGTAACTGAAATAAATTACATTGGTTAGAATGGTTAAAAATTAAATTATAATATTGAAAATTTAACGTTGTAATTTTATCTAAATCAATATTTTTATTTAATACAAATTTCAGTTTTCGATAATTTACAAAAACTCAAATTAAAATTATAATTATTCTTATAAAAAGATGAAAAATTCACACGAAGAAAAAAAAATAACATCAAACATTTTTCCTGTCGTTAATATGTAAATTGAGAAAAAATATTTTGATTTTTAGGAAAAAAACCTTAAATATAATAAACAAATATATACATCATAAAATTGAATAACAACTTTCATTTATATTATTTATATGTACACACTGAAAAAAAGTGAAATGCTAAACCTGCTTTTTACTTCGTCAATTTCAACCAAGTTACAAAAGCAATGCACAGAAGGCAATGTTTAATGATTAAAAAGGCAATTTTTGTTGGGTTACTAAGATAACCAACACATTTTATAAATAACATGTTTTTGTGACGTTAGTAATAAGGCAAAAATTAACTTTTTTGTAAGAAGAAATTGCCTTGTGTAGATTGCTTTTGTAATTCAGTAGAAATTGCTGAAATAAAAAGTAGATTTTTTATTTAATTTTTTTTCAATGCATATAATTTAACAAAAACAGAATTTTATGTTGAACAAAAATATTAACCCCTTCACAGTCAAGGGCTTATATATAGCCAGAAAAGAATGGTGTCACCTTTGTGCATGTGGCCTTATATGGCTAAGTTAAAAAAAAATACTAAACATGACTCGATTAGAGTGTTAATGGGTATACTAAGGTTTTTAGGGTCGCTGAATCCAAATTTGAGGTCAGATGTAACAAATTTAAAATGGCGGACCCAATATAGCGGAAAATTATAGAATTGATTCAATTCTTTCAAAACTTGTTACTCCGGGGTTTTTGGGGTCCCTGAGTTCGAAATTGAGGTCAGATTAAAAAAATTCAAAATGGCAGACTCTATATGGCGAAAAATTATAAAATTGATTCGATTCGTTCAAAATTCGGTACTCGGGGGTTTTTGAGATGGCTAAATCTCATGTAGTTTTCGAATTGTTAAATCAAACCTCAAATTTGGATTCAACGATCCTAAAAACCCCTTATCAGCAACGAATTTTTAACGAATGAATTGAAAAATTTTCCGCCATATTGGATAGCAATATTTAATCCAACATTTTGAATTTTTTGAATCCTTCTGTGACCTTAAATTTGGGTTCAGTGACCCCAAAAACCTTAAATACGATAATATAACATTTTTTTGAAAATTTGTTTTTCGACCGCTTTGGGCCCACAAACGATTTTTCTACTTGACTGCTTAGGGGTTAATGAAGGCGGAATTGCAATGTAAAATTTTCAATATTATACTTTAATTTTTTACCATTCTAAACAATACAATTTATTTCAGTTTAATGATTAATAAATGAATTTTTAAATGTCAACCTTAATGACAGTGTTACCAACTTAAATTTTTTCAAGAAGAGTAAAATTTCATGTGTCCTTTTGCTCATCTTAAACGCGACATGTCTGCTTTTCGACAAATATGTGACGTATACTTTGGGGTCGTCCATAAACCACGCAGTACTTACAGGGGTAGGGGGGTAAAGCTATTGTCTACGATAAGAGGAAAAATGGCGCTAATACAGGTAACAGCGTGCTACATGGTGGAAGGGGGTGGGGGTAAAATTTCGAAAAAATGGGGCTACGTAGTTTATGGACGACCCCTTTTTTTACTAGCCCAGCAAAAATTTGAAAAGAAGTGTGTGAAAAGTAGAGAGGGTAGGAATTTTAAATTTTCAAGTGATAATCTCATTCTAAAATTCATATAACTTTAACAGAACTTGATGGATTTCAATTTGTTAAATGGGATTTTGAATAATTTTTATGTAATTTTCAGTACAAAAACAAATTTTTTTCAAAAAGAAATTTATACCATATTTTTAAAAATTAAATCTTATTTAGTAATAAGTTTCTTAAGAGCCTTTTTTGCCTTTTTAGCTACGATTCAGTTTCTTTTCTTACTAGATGACTAGAAGGGGGCGCGCAACGTGCGCCCTTTTTGGTTCTAGTATTTTTAAAAGTTATAAACAATTTAAGTTGACTAATTTTTATCGAAAAATGAAAAAAGTCTGCCAATCATTTTTTTCAATAAATATTTCTCATTCTTGTTTATACGATAGCCGAAATAGTACAGATTAAGAAAAATGTTGGTTTTTTCATTTTAGATGAACTGTTCTAGGGAAAAGTGTGACAAACTTTTAAAATGTACCTCTTTCGGTAGCCATTTTTTATTAGATTGTTAAAAAAATTGTTTTCAACTCTTTAAAATGTATATTTTATCATAAAAAAATTGTAACTCATTTTATCAAAGTTGGAGTTTCTCTACACGGAAAATTTTTTTCTTAAGTGTTGGGATTTACTAGTTTATCTAATTTACAAAACAGACAGAAGATCTTGAAGGTCAGTTTGAAACGGTTAATACATTTAATTTGCCTTGATTCGGTTTACGAGTTTGTATTAATAAGTTCTTTAAATAAAATTACAAATATTTTCTTTAAAAAAATTGAGAGAAATGTATATTGGCTTCAAATGCTTACAACATGAACAATGCATATTGCAAATGATCTACCAAAAAGTTTTCCATGTAGGGATGAAAAAAGGTAATAGGCTGCTGTGTTTTGTTTTACTAACGTCTAATAAAACCATAGCCTAAAACTTGTTAAATATTTTTCAATCGTGGTGAATTTTTGGTACAAAAAAATAATTGAGCCGCAATAATGGCAACTGCGAGAAGACGATGTTTGAATTCTCCTGATTCCTTTTGTTATATTTGTGGAGAGTACATTTTTATTCGAACAGATAACAAAAGACAAATAACAGAATTTATTAAATCTGCATATAAAGCTTATTTTAAGTTAGAGTTGCAAAATGTAAGTACGTATATGTATAAAATAAGTTTAGTATATGTTTTATTAGACCTTTTTGCGTTAAATAAGCGATCAGCTTGTGGTGAAAATGAAACAAGAACTTTTCTTTTAGTGTAAACCTACGGTTCCTAACGTTGTTTGTAAAACGTGCAGTGAACACTTGCGACAATGGACAAAAGGAAAAAGAAAGTCATTAAAGTTTAGGGTTCTAATGATTTGGAGAGAACTTAAAAATCATTTTGACGATTGCTACTTTTGTGAAGTAAATATTTGTGGAATTAATCGAAATAATAGAAATAAATGGGCATATCCAGACTTAGATTCCGCTAGAAGACCTCTGCCTCACTCAGAGAGTGAAATGCAGCAATCATCTCCTTTTTTGCCTGTTCCTCATGATATTTTTATTGTTGAAGATAAACAATATAGTGAGAAAAATGACAATGAGGATGAAAGCTATGATGAATTTGAGGCATCATCTGATGATCCGAAACTTTTTTTCTCAAGAGGAACTTAGTGATCTTATAAGGGATTTGAGTCTTACAAAAGAAATGGCTGAAATTTTAGCATCAAGATTAAAAGAGAAAAATATGCTTTCTCCAGGAGTAAAAGTAACTTTTTATCGTAAGCGAGAAATAGAACTTTTGCCTTTTTTTCATCAGAGGAGAATTTAGTATTCTGCAACAATGTAGCTGGCCTTGTTAAGAAAATGGGACTTTTAGAATATCGGGCAAATGAGTAGCGTCTCTTTATAGATAGTTCCAAACGAAGTTTAAAATGTGTTTTATTACACAATGGAAACAAACACGGCTCTATTCCAATTGCTCATTCGACTATCATGAAGGAGGAATATCACAATATCTCGCTTGTTTTGGAGAAAATAAAATATACAGAACATGAGTGGCTGATATGTGTTGATCTAAAAATGGTTAATTTCTTACTAGGACAGCAAAGTGGATACACAAAATTTCCCTGTTTTTTTATGTTTATGGGACAGCAGAGCTAAAAGTGAGCACTCCCTAGCGGATGGGTCCAACGCGTTTTGAACAGAATAGTGTTGAAACACCGTTGGGAACACAACGGTCACTAAAAATGTTATTTAAACAATAAAATATGATGAAGTATTTATTGGGATTTGTAGAAAAAGTGTTCATGAGTAATTTAAGACCTTATTTGTATCTATTTAATACGAAAAAAGTGAAATAAAGGTGGTTCTACAATAAGTGCAGAAGGCAAGTGCAAGTCTAAAAAAACTACAAGTGCAAGAGAGATTGCTAGATTATCTATCTTTCTTGCACTCATGGTTTTCTTGAACTTTCACTTGCCTTTTGTACCTATTGTAGAACCTCCTTAAAAGATAAAATATGGAGCAATCTTATATTAGGGTACACGGAAGAAAATCAATGGTTGCCACAGCCATATCTTTGGTTGTCTCAACTATATTATATTGAAAAATACGTCCCAACCATACCTCCGGTTGCTCCAGCCATATTAAATAGCTAGCTTTAAATTGTTAGCACAACTAGAATATATGGCTGTGGGAACCATATATTTGGAAAACATTCAAATGCTAATATGGATGTGACAACCATTTTTAATTGATGCTTCGACCATTATTTAGTGTACCATAT